AAGCTGGCCTTTCCGGGAAGCTGTTTGTTCCGGAGGGCACTCCATCGTCAGCTCTCAGCCTATAGTTTTTAACAGATTCGCTTGTGCTTTACAAAGCAAATCCAATTCTTCAGGTCTGAGAAACGCAGCACCTCGTGGGATACAGCCGCTACTGCCTTTCAGAGACGCCCTTCCAGTGTAACAGCATTCGAAATGCAAACCAACATGTTCACATATTCTTTTAGGGCAAAGCTTGTAAAACTCTTAAGACAAATCCTGTCCCAAAACACATTTAATACTAATTCGTGGAGCGACACTATACCACTAATGCCACTCAAGAAATGGAGTTTGTTTTGTTTTTTTAATGGAGGATTTTAGGTAGAAGGGAAGAGTGAGTGTAGAATTTAGAGCTATAGAGGATCTTATTAATACATGAAGATATAAGAAGCCGCCTTGGAAGGTATATCTAAGATTTTACAGATACTATTCAGTGACAGCTAGAACTAGGATCAGGTTTTCTCTTGCATGGTTAGTTCGGCTAGGAGGAATATTAAGAAAAGCCCCAGTAATTCAGATGAACCTTGTTAGGTATATGAAAGAGGTGAGAGAACAACCATCCAGTTGATAAGATGAAAGAATTTAAAAATTATTTTATAAGAAATAGATATTAATTTAGAATTTATGAGATGTTTTATGGTAGGCTTGAAGCAGGAAAATAATTGAAATTATATAGACCATATAAGTACTTCTATAAAATATGTTAAAACTGATTCTATAATTCACTCTCATTTGAATAAAGTGGGTCTATGTTAACATTAATCAAATATTATTTGAGCTTATACTTTGTATTAGGCACTGTGGTAGCTCTAAAGAAAGATAAAAGATGATTCCAGTCTTGAGGGAGTATAGTATATTTGGGGAGACTACATATACACAAAAATATAACAGTAACCTGTATTAGGCAGTATGTAGTAAAGCACCATACAGATAGTACTGACAGTGTATGTTAAGGGAATTTCAAAGGAGAAAAATCTGGTGGTATCTTGAAGAGTAAGAATTAGGTAACAGGAAATTGGACGGTATTTTAGGGATGGTGACTAAGCAAACATACGCAGTCAAAAATATATAAGGCATAATATATAAGGGGAATAGGAAGTTGAATAATCCAATTACACTGGAAGGCTCAGGACAGTAATTTGAAAGGTTGGTTGGTACTGAGTTGTAGAGCATTCTGAATGTCAGGCTAGAAGTTCAAGCTTAGTGTTCTAAGGAATATGAAAGTAAGACAGTTTTTTACACAGGTGAGTTCTATGATGGAATCTATACTCAGGCAGCTGAATTGATTGGGAGAAGGAGAGATGGGAAGCCGGCTGCTAGTTAAGTTACTGGTTAACACATTAAACTGCCATGTGATTTGTATTTAACTCATGCTAGGTTTGAGCCCAGGGCCTTGTGAAGCATATATAAAGTACAAGAAGTGGCACCATCGTTTTGTCAATACATATTTCCTTATCTGGAACTACAGCAATTTGAAACCTTTAAAGAAGACAATCAAGAAGTGGCTGGATCTTGAAGAGACGGTCACCAGGAGGACATTCTTCATCGTTAGAGAAATGCCACATTCTCAGAAGCATATCGAAGCGGTTACATGATATAAGCCTTTTCACTGAATTGTCATACAAAATGGTTTTTTACCAATAGTCCAGAAGTCTTGGCTTCTTGCTAAGGCCCGTAGAAAACAATACTCCCCAAAATCATTCCATTTCTTGAGAAATAACATTGTACCACTTTTTTAGCTGGGAGTGGGGTTTGATATTACCCTTTTGTAAAATCTGATTTGTGTAGATATTAGTTTCCTTCACGATGTAATCAATGCATCATCTGTTATGAAGAAATTGAAAAAATCATAAGGTGTTTTTTCACGTAGATTTATTGCAATTTCGGTTGGAACACCAGGATTACTTTCAACACAGTCAAAACTCTTCATGTTACTTCTTGAAACTGGACCCCAGGTCAAAGAACTTACACTAGTCACTGCAGGTTCTTCGGAAACATCTGACAGAGAATCACTCTTACTGTAATCAGCTACAACTGCTTTGATTGTTTAAGTAACAGATTTTGAACAAACTTCTTAACTGGAAAGATGTGCATGTAATGTTCTTCCAGTTTTTCTCGGTGGGCTGCAACTACTATCAGAACTGTTCCCACTATCTCCACTAAGATGGTACTCCTCTGAATCTTCACTAAATAGATCAACATCTTCATTACTCATGTCCAAAACTTCATTTACCATTTTCTCTTGAGAACGAAAAACATAAAATAAACTTAAGTGATGATCACAGCTCTGGTCACAGAACCTATACTAAACTAGAATGGTGGCTAGTCAGGAAGGGCCATAGTGTGCTGTGCTCAGTGAAACTTCTGCTCATTGTTTTTGCTGTCAATCAGCACCTCCCCCCACCTCCTGTTGCCCTGCTCCAGCTGGCCCACCCAAACGCTCCACATGTGCTGGACTGTGTTGCACATTTCCCCTTGAATGTTTGCCTGGCGCCTCTTTGAGTGATTATGTGGCAGTGTGACATTGTTGCACATACTTAGGGGGTATGATTCAGAGGACCACCCAAGTCCACTCCAGACACAAATACCTGTGGAATGACAAAAGACAATTCTCAGAAAAAAATTCAATAAGTATGTCACGAGTAACATACAACTCATGTGGCATGCAGTGTAAAAATGGGTTCTAGTGCCGTGTGAGTTGCATATAACTCACGCACAGAAAAAAATAAAAAATAACAAAATTTTCATTAAATTAGAAAAAATCGTTTTGTTTTTGAAGTTTTTATTCTATTCTCATAATAAAACAACATGGCCCCAGGGCAACATATTTGAAAGTGAGTTGTTCAGAGACATTGATGGAGAAGATTGGATGCTGTTGACTTAATATCCAGAGTAATAAGGATTTTCTTTCCAAATTGTTGAAGATTATCTTCCCAAGATTTTTTTTCCTTTGCAAAGTAGAATCAAATTTTAGAGTCAGAAGAGATATAAGAGTTTAGTCTAAGGCTAAAGTGATGTGAGAACTCAAGATACGCTGAATGTGAATAGATATTTGCTGTTGTCCAACAGTAACCCAAGTCTGTAAAGTTTAATGTTCTAATTAATGGAAGGCTTTATTTGAAGGGGAGGTAACTGAAATGTGTGAAATCTGTGAAAAACCTCCATGTACCCATCATCCAGTTTCAATCATTATTAATTTGGGAGTGATCTTGAGAAAAATTTTTAATCATGATATTGTTTTGGCTTTGTCTAACTGCAAAATAAACCTAGGTGTATACTAAACCACTTAATGGAAACACTTATTTTTCTGCAGTGTTTCCTGAGGTTATAGGCGGGTGTTTGAGGAGTACATGCGGGTTATTAGCCAGCGGTACCCCGACATCCGCATTGAAGGAGAGAATTACCTCCCTCAACCTATATACAGGTAAGTAAATTTCAGTAACTTAAAAGGAAAACAGTTTGACTCTATAAACTTTTGTGAATTGTTTTCACTAACTTTTCTTGATTATTATAATTTCTTAGTTGGTTATAATAATATACAGAGAATGCTGCTTTATAAATAGCAAGTTCATTTGACCCAAATATAGAAGGCTTTTTCTGTAAAAAGGAATAGGGTCATTTCAGTGATGGCAACCTTTCTAAAGATGAGCTTTAAATGGCAATTCTGTATAATTTTGTAAGTTAATTTTTGACTGTTTTAAAAATATTAAACATTTTTGTTTTAAAACTGCACAATAAACTTTAGTAATTTCTTTTTCTGTTACTAGTAACTTTTAGATTTGGTGTCTAGAAAATGTCTGTATCCATACATTTGAATTAAATATTAAAGTAGATGAGAAATTG